CTCTAGTCAGCTGGTGTTTAAGTTGTAGTAAAGCAGAATTTATTTAAAAAGAAAGAGAACAACAAATCTTAATTGTTTTCCATTTTACTTGCTTTGCTTACCATTTATTTACCATGCATTGTTTTCTTACTGTTGCAAGTTTTTGACAACTATGGTATCCTAGTCTGATTTGCACTGATGGAATCTAAAAAGGAATGAAACCAGTTGCCATATAGAATATTGAATATAATTATTACAATAATACTATATTTAAAATATGTTAGAAATAGTTTTTAGGGATGCTAAATATACTGCAGATAGACGGAACTACATGTACATCCTCTGTCATGCTTCGGATATTTTTTTTAATTAAGGTCTATTTCTTTTAGTTAGATTTTTCAATTAAGTGCTGATGATCTGGAAATGCCCTCACTGAAGCTCAGACTCTCCTGCATGTATTATGGCATTTAACCTAAAATGGCAAGAAATCAATTCTGTTGTTTGTGCTGTAATTGACTGAATAGTAATTGAGACACAGGATATTCAAGGGTCAAAGTGAGACATACTCAGAAAATATATTTGTAAATAATTTTTACAAGTTTTTAATCAAAAATTGGTTTATAATGGAATTATACCTTTAATTTCATATGTTTAAAAATTTTCATAGTCTGAGCACATCTTTGTATTTATGTTAAAATTACTATATCCTTTACATTACAGTACTGTTTTCAAAAATCTAATTCAGTTCTCAAATCACAGATACTGGAAAAGGTGTGGCTTGCAAGGAGTAAAGTGCTGATCTTTATCACTGTAGTATTAAACTGTGATTGTGATGAAGGCCAATGTTTCGGTAAACAAGCTGTTTCACTTCTGGTGTCCAGGCTATACTGGGGCAGTCAGCTTTGTGAACTGGGGAGAAGGTGTCCCATGACACTCCATTCAGAGTCCTCACAGTGGCCTCTGTGCTGCCCTGTGGGAAGGCATCTCCTGCTGATGGAGGGCTCCTGAGGTGGTCTGAACACACAAGGAGTAATGCTGGTCCACCTCTGCTTCAAGCTCCCATATATTCCCTGCTCCTGACTCTTGCGGGGAGATTCCTGGGAGATTTTTCTACTTCAGCTTCTTAAAGTCTGATAGTCTCAGTTCCAAGTCGCCAGGGGCCTCTGCTCTGCTTCAGGCTAGCGTAGAGTAATTGCTCAGCAGAGTAGGGAGCCCACCCACCCTGACTGCCCTCCATCCCTGCAGCACAGGGCGCACTCATGGCCAGAGACAGGCACTGTTTCCCTGGCCTGGGCCACCACTTCATGCTTGCTACAGCACTCATGTGCCTTCTTTAAGTGTCATACTTCCACCTGGTCCTCTTCTACACTCTGGACTAGAACATATTGACATAAGGGTCTTTTTTTTTTTGCCCCATTTGTTTCCCTGGAGGCTTTCTCTTGCTATCAGGTCTCAGCAACATAAAGGAGGCAGTCTAAGATCCGAAATGGGCTTCTGCCCAACCAGCTGCCATGGCTGGTTGCACAGCCCTGCTGTTTTGATGCCCAAGGTCTGGCAGTACAGGGCCTATCTGGCTGGAGGGCTGGAACATGGAGGAATGCTGCCTTCTGATTCAGCTGCAGTTACCAACATGGTTTTTGTGGGACACCAACTGTACTGAACACCAGGCCTAGGCAATGAGGGCTAACTGGGTTCCAGCTTGCTCTCGTCCTTAGGCTCACAGGACACTCATTTTCTCAAAGAGGATAATGCTACTATTGAAAGGATATAAAGGTGGGAAAAGATAAATAGAAAATGGAATAGGAATGGAATGTGTGCATTAGTCAGCCTTTTCAATGCATAATAAAAAGCTTTTATATGAGATTAAATTCAAGTCTTGTGTAAGTGAAAGGGAGATACTGTACTTGTTTTCTGTAAGAGACTGAATTTTATCTAAGCAGCTTTGCATTAAAAAAAAAAAAAAAGGCGAAAAGCTGCTCAAATTTTGACATCTCCAAACTTACCTCTCCTAAAATATTTTTGTTAATCTCATAGCTCCTTCTTACATCTTAGTTTGCTTTCATTCTGAAATCACCTGTTGGTTACTTGCTTTCTTTCTGGGGTTGTTTTGTTTTATTGCTTTGCCCTTCAACTGCCCTTCCCTAGCACTTTTAATGATATTTCCTCCACTGCAGAGAGCTTCAATTCTGTTTGGTATTCTGCCTTGTAAAAAATAAAGTACAAAAAAAAGCACATTAAATTATTAATACTTTGTTGTCACTCTTTTAAAGATTGTACTCTTGGGGATAAAAACAGGCACTGGCACGAATGTAAAGGAGTAATAGTGGAAAAGATAAAACAACTAGAACTTATTATGCTGAAACAAATCCTTCTTTACTATGTGTATGGTGAAATAAGTTCATGTAGACTTAGTGATTCCTTTGTAAGAATCTCCACCTCTCTTTATTCCCTCAGTCTAAATGTTCCCATATTTCTCTGTATGTTGTACTTGGAGGATTAGGAATTCCCGGTATATGTTCATATCAATAAACATACTGGATGAACTGAATATGTTCTGCAATCTGTTTCGTAGAACACCTCTGCTAACAGGATCTAATGGTCCTTCCTGAGCTTTGAATATATGTGAAGCATCTGGCTTTGCTAAGAAAATGAGGCTAAACTGTAGATCTTCCTTTATAAAGCATAAAAGCAGAGTGTGGTGCGGCTAAGCTACTGTCAGAAAAGGTACTCTCTTCCTTAAGATAACCTGTCCCCTTTGCACAAAGATCTGGTGTTTGCCATTTAGATATGGCTTACAAGATACAGGTTGGAGTTCTTCAAGGGGAGAATTAGATAATTCTGCTGTGTGACTGCAAGCTATGACAGTTCTCAGGGCCTTGCCCTTTAACTTGTCCTATCACTATAACAGAATAAAGAGCTGATCTAGCTCAGGTCTTTGACAGTAATCATGCATGAGCAGTTTGGCCAAGATCTGATATTGCACTTACTGCCAGGTCACGGGGAGAAAAATCTTGAAGTCTTTTTATTTGCTACATCTTACCTGTGCAACGGAAAGACAGCTTAGTCAGTGCTGAACAAATGCCACGATCTGACTAAGGATTTATACAGAACAACAGCACAAGAGAAATGTCATGTTTCAGACACTGTGGTGTTTTGGGTATTTCCTTCAGACTCTAGAGCCACAGAAGTCAGTAGAAGCCCTGCCATGAATTGCAGGGGTCCAGCCCTGTTCAGGGTCCATACCCCTGGTGTCAACCTAGCAGAAATCCTCTGTGTCACTCCTGTGGGGCCATCAGTTGAGGTGCTCTAGGAGAAACCCTTTAAGCCAGCTCTAGTTACTTAATTTATGGGCCAAAACTAAATGGGTTTGTTGCTGCTCCTCTTTTACATGAAACTTACACGCATCAGTTAAAGCAATTAAAAGGTTATGTCAGAGGTTCCATTTTTCAGTATCTGTCAAAGACACCGGGGCAATTCCTCTGGATGGTGGCTCTGGTTTAGTGTGTGCCCTTTCAACCAGACAAGTGTCTGCTCTATCTGAAGTGCAACATGATAAAGAGGTAAGGAATAAGCAATACAGGGACAGAACATTATTGCAGGGACAGAACATAAGTGACCACAGCTTCCACTGGAAACTCACACAGGATCCAGGGGAATGGCATGAAGCTGTGTCAGGGGAGGTTTAGGTTGGATTCACCCAGAGGGTGGTTGAGCACTGGAACAGGCTCCCCAGGGAAGTGGTCACAGCACCAAGCCTGACAGAGTTGAGGAAGCATTTGGACAACACTCTCAGGCATATGTTGTGATTCTTGGGGCTGTCCTGTGTGGGGCCAGGAGTTGGACATTGATCATCTTTGTTGATCCCTTCCAGATCAGGATATTCTATGATTCTACGATAACCGTGGAACTTGTCATTTTAATATTTTTGCAGATGATGTTTTTCAGAGGAAGCTGCACCACCCTGGCTCACCTACCTCTCGACATACCTGTTTGGGTTTCCCATGGCTACACCGGCCCCCATGGCCCGGGCACCCCACGCAGGGCGGCAGCGGGGAGATGCCCTCCGGGGCTGCAGCGGTGAAGGAGGGCTGCTTGCCTGAGTCCCGCTGGTGCCGTGCAGACTGGGGGAGCATCCCACTCTCTCTCTGCTGCCCTAGTGGGGGCTTTTTCCTTTTCCTTGCAAAGCTTCCCTGCAGGGCAGCTAAGGACATCCTGGGTAGGCTGACCGATCCCGGGAGGAGGAGAGAGGCGGAGGAGACAATCCCCTCTCCCTGCTGCTGCTGCTGCTGAAGCTGTGCTGGAGCCGGAGCCCTCGATGTGGTTCCCCAGAGTTAGTTGCTCAGCAACCAGAATCAATTAATATGCTTTGCAGAAAGTGCAGGGGAAGCCCGAGCTGCTGTCAGCGAGCAGGCAGGAGGCTGAGGGTGACTCAGGATCCCACTCCTACCTGACACCCATTTGGTCCCACCCCATCTTCTCCAAACACTCCATTAGCCACCGTTCTTTTCCCCTCTCTCCTTCTTTATGATACTTAGTGCGTGTGTCCCCAGATCCTTCGGGCAAAGTGCCTTCTTGCTCAAGAAACCCTCTGCTTTGAGGCTTTTGCTTTTAGATCTGATTTGTATTTTTGGGTTATTTGTCAAACCTCCAATACTTTTCTAGAAATTCTAATGTTTATGTTCTTTGGGAAGGGAAAGGGATAGCTGATGTTTTTGTCACATAGTTTTAAAGGTGTCTCAGGATGAAAAGGCTTGTTTGGTAGTACACAATTGAGCAGCAGCAATGAAAATGCATCATGTGTGAATTGGGAAAGTTTTTGCCTCTTCCTTTATTACAAATCATCAGCACTGGACATATGAGACCAAAGAGGTAGTACTAATTGTTGTGAAACACCTAGATAACAGAGCAAATGAGGGGGTGTTGTGTTTTTTTCGTATCTTCTCATTTTCAGCATAGTAATTTCGGGGCTTTGGTAAGGTATTATTTTCTTTTTTTCTTTCTTTCTTTAATTTTTTTTGGAGTCCCTCTGATGACATCGCGAATCTGGGAATGAAGAACTTCTTAGAGCTGATTGGAAATGGCATTACAGAGCTGAAACTTAACTGGAGGAAATATATCTCCTGAAGAAGAAAATATAATGCACTATAAGGATCTGACTTCTGGTGAAAAACTCAAGCCTAGAGAAAACTTGTCCGCTTTGTTAGGAAGGATGGGTTGGACAATTTTCTTCAGTTCCAAAGGATATCTGAATGCCATGCTGAGCTTAATCTCTGCAGCATGCTCTGTGCTTCTCATCTCTTCCTGATGCACTGCATGGTAAGGCCTTTTTCCTTCTTTTTAATAATAACTATCTTTCTGATATGGTAAGAGGTATAAAATAATTTCAATAGTGAAATGAAAAATTGAAAAAATGTAGAAAGGTAACAAAAGAATGTTTGTTTGTATGGTTGTTTCCAGCAGCAAGTGTCCTGATTACTGCAGCAGCTTTGTAAGATCATTTCTGTCTTTCTCCCTCGCTTTGTGACAGTGTGTATGTGCGTGTGTGTGAGTTTGTGCCCACCTGTGCTGTCATTTGTGCCCAGACTGGAACATCTGTAGCTCTATTGTACATATTTCCATGCTTAAGAGAATGTTTAGGAATTTGCTTTGACATTTCTCTTTCTCTTTCCCTCCCTCTCTCCATTCCCCTCCTCCTGCCTCCCCTTTCTCTTGCTGTTTCTCTGGGGTCATGGTGCTATACCTTCCCTGCATCTCAGTTGTGCACTGACCGCTAGAAGGCAAAATAAATTCCATATCAATGTAAGAATAGTCCTGAATAATATTATCTGAGTAAATGGAAGCTACAGAACAATTTTGAATGTCTGCAATATTGGCAGGTACCAAAGATTTACTCTATTTTGTTTCCATGGGAAACAAATATCAAATGCAGACTCAGATCTGTGTTTTAGATACAGTGGGAGGCAGATCCTTTTACACATGTCAGTAAACCAAAAAAACTACCACTGTGAATTACTACCCAGCTCATAAAATTAGCAAACCCAGTATGGGATGTTCTCATATCCAGTTATTTTTGTCATGTGTAGTGTAGTGTTGAGAATTATTAGAAATGGCTTCACTGAGTGTTGCAAGATATTTTTCATTAACAGGTGTAATGTGGTTTCATCTTTCTGGATGAAAGAAGATGTTATTAACTAACAACCCAACTTACAAAAATTTAGAGTCATTGTCAAAAAATTGCCAAGCTGATCAGGAATTATATAGTGAATGTACTGAGATGGAAAAACAGGTTCATTTTCCAGAGAACCTGGTTTACTTGGATCTCTGTTTCAGAAATTAGGGTAGAACTAAAAGATAAGAGAGTCATGATGTGAAATATATATATATATATATATATTCTTACATATCCTGGTTGATCACTGAGTTTGGAAAAGTTGAGTGGTTCTTGAGGAGTAGACTGTGGTAAGGGCCTGCCCCTGCTCTAAGGGTAACCCCTCACAAATCTGGCTGCTTTTAGTGGGGTTGGAAATGGAACAGGAACAGGTTTGTGTACCGGCTGTCACGGGCTGTCCAGCTGGGTATGGAGGTGATGGGTTCTCAGCAGCAGGTTTTGAGGTTGAGAAAGATGAAAAGAGCCAAAGCAAAAAAGGCCAGGCCACAGCAGGACTCATGAACAAGAATCAGAGCTTAAATACCATTCAAAAGATGTAATTTTGTGGTAGTTCCCAACAAATCTCCTCCTTGTATGATGAAGGACTCCATAAGGCAGTTTTTAAAGAGGGAGTGGTAATGCAGCTTCTTCAAATCACTGCAGCAGGAGGAAACAGATAACACAATTCTGTACTGTGACAGTGTTCCAGTAGCTTTCAGACGCATCAGCCTTGGTTTTAGGAGTAAAAGTTCAAAACGTATATGTGTGCATCAAAGTAGATTATTTGTGTATTTTACTATCTGAAATGTGTGACTAGTGTAAGAATGAATAAGCAAAGCTGAGGAAGGACAACACAACTATAAATGTCATCTTCAGTGTTAGAAAGAATCTCTTGCTTGTGGAAGTCATCTCCTCAGATCTCTATGTGAACAAGGACCGCATCCTAAATTCATCTCCCATTACAAACCTCTTCTCACATCAGCAGTTCTGTGTCAGTCAATGGGGCAACTCACATGGATGTTATTGTTTAACCCTAGCTGGTTAGGGTTAGCACCACATGGCTGCTCACTCACTCTCCCCTGGTGGGATGGGAGAGAGAATCAGAAAAATAAAAGTGAGAAAACTCCTATGTTGAGACACAGACTGTTTAATAGGTAAAGAAAAAGCCACATCCACACAAGCAGAGCAAAACAAGGAATTCAATCACCACTCCCCATGGGCAGGCAGGTGTTCAGACATCCCTGGGAAAGCTGGGCTGTATTGTGTATCACCGTTACTCGGGAAGACAAATGCTATAATGGTGAACATTCCTCTCCCACCTTTTCCCTCTTCTTCACCCCATTTATATGCTGAGTATGACACCGTATGGTACAGAATACCCCTTGAGTCAGTTGGGGTCAGCTTTCCCAGTTGTATTCCCTCCCAACTCCTTGTGCACCCCCAGCACAATTGCTGGTGGGGTGGAATGTGAGGCAGCAAAGGCCTTGGCTCTGTGGAAGCACTCCTCTGCAAGAAACAGAATTTTTCTGTATTATAAATACTGTTTCAAGCACTAAAGATAGCCTTTATTAACTACTGGAAAGAAAATTAACTCTGTCCCAGCCAAAGCCAGCCCATTCTCCACTCCTCATTCTACACGATTTACCCCATGCTCAGGTCCCACACTATTCAATACATCCTCATTAACCACCACCCTCCTTTCCATCTTCATATTTAATATGCAGATATCATTCCCTTACTCTATGGACCACCCTTGTAAATTGTCCAGAAATGCACACAAAATGTCTATTGAGTTCATTTAGACCTCGACTTCAGGCTCCATCTCTTATGGTGGTCACTCAGAACAGGAGAGGTCAAAGCTAGCACAGTGAGTAAGAACTACTCATGTGAATAAATTCGGAAAGATTTTATAATACCAGGATCTTTGATTGTCATAGCAACAAATTTATTGGGCTTCAGGCATAATTTATATTTCCCTTCTAAACAAAATAATTTTTCCTTTTACCTGTGTGATTCTTTTTGCCTTGTAATTAGGGCAGGAAAAATAGGTTAATTACATTCTTAAAGATCATGCAACTGTACAGACACATTGTTAGTGAAAAATTGTCAGAATATGCAAAACTTTACCTTTATTAGTGGCCTCCAAATCGAAGTGTGCGGTATTCTTATTGGAATCATTCATTGCCTTATTATTTTTCTGACAGTATTAACATTGCTACTAGGTATTGCCAGTTTTTCCAGGAACCCATTAAGAAAAATAGTTCATTTAAAACATCACTGATCTTATAAAAGTACTCACTATTATTGGGTTCAAGGATATTTACCAAGCTTTTTACTACATTAAATAGGTTCATTTTTTTGTTAATACATGATGTTTAGCTCTTTAGTTGATCCAGGAATATGTTTATCTTTAGGGTATAGAAACGCAATACAAAATCATAATTATAGTAAACTTCCTACAGAATATAGATATATATTCAAATAGGAAGGATAAAATTATCTGCATTTTATTTCCCTATTCAATTTCCATGCTTATAAATGTCTATATTATTAGGATATATATTACATAACAAGTAAGATTTCATTCACTGTTATTTGTAAAGAACAGTTTCTTTTCAGAATACAGTGCATCGGATTTTTTTGCTCTAGGTTACACATTATGAAAGAAAGAAAAATATTAAGAAAAACAAGCATAACAACCTTTAATATGTACCAGTAAACTAATGCAGCAATAGGTTAATTTGTTTTTTTTATCCCTATAATTTACATAGCAAGAATAGTAGATTCTTTTCTAAAGAGCTTGTTATTTTGAGAGAGAAGGTTTTACATGATACAGGATGTTCCATTGTCTCTATCAGACATGTCTGTCAATGAATTGCTGTGACTTAAAACTCTTTCTTTAGCTACATTTTAAATAATTTAAACACTTGCACAACACCTGCATTTAGCTTTCTCTTTCAATTCTAAAGCAAGTAAAATTAGTCATTTCCTTTTTTTTAAAGATACTATTCAAGAAAGGTTTGATGCTGAGAACACCTGCATTTTATTTCAGTCCATTGAATTGTTTCTTTAGATAAACTATGTGAATTAGAGCTTGAACCATTTGTATTGTCAGGGAAGTTATACTGAGCAGTGGAAATACTTTTCACTCTCGCAGCAACTATTTCTAATCAAGACAAATGTGTCTTAAAAATATAGCATATAAGCAGTTCATGTACTTGTAATGCCTTGAGCTGTCTAGATTCAAGATCCAGCAAAAACCTGATTTTTGAAAGGCTTGCAAAAAAAACCCCAAACCAAAACAAAAAATAGTCTTAATGTTTTGGTTTTTTAAATGTAAATGTCCACAGAAGGAACATTTATTGGTCAGGTAATTTCCGTAGATCAGCATATGTGTTTTTGATAAACCAGGATAAAAAATGGAAAAGGCATAAAGTTTTTAAAAAATTAAAAGCTCTAAAAATCTATATGTTTGTAAATACTGATTTCAAAATGACACATTTAATTTTAAATTTTTTAATCAGACTTTCACTTGTTACAAGAAATTGTACTGACATCTGTTTATCCGTTTTTCTCAGCAAAATTTTGCTACACTTAATTTCTCTTTTTGACAGTGAAATGTTTAGTTGTAAATTTTATAACTAGATCTTTTATAGCTGTCCCAATATTTTTTGGCTCTCAAGAGTCAGTTCTTTAATCAGAAGCTTTCTGAAGGGTTATCTTTGCATTACATATTGCATAGCCCCATATTACTAATACTGAACAGCAGCTCTCACCACATCTGTGGTAGACATAATCTCTGAGGGCATTTCCCTCCTTTAATTCTTCTTGTCTTCAACAAAAAGCAGGCCTCTATTTTGCTGAGTTTTCCAGATACCAGAAGTAGTGCTTTCTACTACAAAGACCTTCAAGAGGCCTTCAAAAGGCAAACGGGCAAGGAATAGAATTAATCGAGTATTAATATCCTTATTAAATAGATAAGGAACTGAGGAACAAAGAAAACCGCCCAAAGCTATACTAGCAAGGGAAGAGTTCGGAATTGAACCCAAATGTCCTTATTCTCAGTTCATCACTGTCCCTGCAAGGTTACTCTTCATTTTGTTCATTTTTTTGCTTAATGACTTGCATTTGGACTTTTAAGTTAATACTAGTTGAAGTATCAAATGTG